ATGTAGGAGCCATGAATCAACTAGCAAGAAACTTGGCATGTGAATGGGCAAGTGATGGTATAAGGGCTAACTCTGTGGCTCCTTGGGTCACTGCAACTTCTCTTGTCAAAAAAGTAAACTAAGTCGACCTTTTGCTTTTTATTTCATCTTCTTTTTGACCTGAATCTTGGACTATAAATGTGGACTTTTTCAGTATCTTGATGACAAGAAAATTTCAGAGGCTATGTTCTCAAGAACCCCATTAGGCCGTGCATGTGAGCCGCGTGAGGTTGCGTCTTTGGTTACGTTTCTTTGTCTCCCTGCAGCTTCTTATATAACAGGACAAACCATTTGTATTGATGGAGGTTACACTGTTAATGGCTTCTCCTACAAACCATAGGCTTAAACCTATCAGTACAACAATTATACGATGTATGAACAATAAGTTATGTGTTTTGAGCTTCGATTAATGTCCAAATAAAACGAGCTCAAAAACTTATGAAAACAGAGAGATTATAATCAGAGTGTTTGTGTGAGTAAAATTTGGGGTTCCATGATTACTTCTACCTTTTATCTTTTTGACTTTAGTGTTGCAAAGTAATGGGCCTTGGATTCATTGATGGATATTCCTAATGGACCCTGCCCATTAACTCTACCTTTTATCTTCAATGATTGATGATCAATCATTTGCTCTACGTATTCTGTTCACATAATTCAGTATCACTTCAATCTGAGATCTTTAGCCATAGGAGAGCAATGGCAGGAGCAGAGCAAAGCCAAAGATGGACCCTTCGAGCCAAGACCGCACTTGTAACCGGTGGAACCAAAGGCATCGGGTTCGTATATAGTCTTTCCATAATTCTTGAAAGCACTAGACTTTGTTTAATCTATGGTTCTTGAATCAAGAATAGGCATGCTACAGTAGAGGAACTAGCAGGATTTGGAGCAATAATACATACTTGTGCTAGAGACGAATCTCTGCTTCACGAGTGTTTAAGCCAATGGCAAAAGAAAGGGTTTCAAGTCACTGGTTCAGTCTGTGATGCATCTTCTAAAACAGACAGAGAGAAGCTAATGCAGACTGTGACGTCGGTGTTTGGTGGGAAGCTAGATATCCTCGTAAGTTAATACTCTTTTATCATTTGCTCAAAATCTCAAAAGCTAAATCAGATTGATACGTTTGATTGTTAGATAAACAATGTGGGAGCGATACGAGCAAAGCCAACGTTGGATTATACAGCAGATGATTTCTCATTCCATATTTCGACCAACTTAGAATCTGCTTTCCATTTAAGCCAGCTTTCACATCCTCTGCTTAAGGCTTCAGGATGTGGTAGCATCGTGTTCATGTCCTCTATTGCTGGAGTTGTATCGCTTAGCGTCGGCTCCATCTACTCTGCAACAAAAGGTAATGTACTTGTTATTGAATAACAAAACCACCTCTCTGTTTGGAAATGTAAAATGCAAATGCACAAATTTGTTTTTAAGTCTTTAATGTGTTAGTGTGTGTGTGTGTCTACGCAGGGGCGATGAATCAGCTAGCAAGGAATTTGGCATGCGAGTGGGCTAGTGATGGCATTAGGGTTAATGCCGTGGCTCCTGCGGTCATTGCAACTCCTCTGGCTGATGCTGTGAGATGCTATATGCTACAAATAATCCTCCAAGAGTCATTCTCTTTCTTGCTTGCTTTTACCGATATCTTGACTTTTTGATGATGGTCTTTTAGGTGTATGATGATGATTTCAAGAAAGTGGTGATAGCTAGAAAGCCGTTAGGGCGATTCGGGGAGCCTGAAGAAGTGGCCTCGCCTGTGGCTTTTCTATGTATGCCTGCAGCTTCTTATATAACTGGTCAGACCATTTGTGTTGATGGAGGTCTCTCTGTCAATGGCTTCTCGTATCAGCCACAAGGTTAAAGACTTAAAATCCATTGTCCAAAACAAACAAGAATTTCAACTTCATTACAAATAAAGTTCTAATGTCTAGACTTGGTATGTTCACTTGGAGCCTATGCTTTTTAGGGATAAATTGGAGCTTAGGTTTTTTTTGTTTTTGCATAAATTGGAGCCTATATATTTTTTTCGTTTGCATGCTTGGCTAAGTCACGCATGTATATAGTCAGACCTCAGACGCATAGAGAGATTGGCATTTTCTTCTATTAATTCCATATGCTTGTTGCGACCAAATATCTATTAGAGAAAACCACTAAAAATATACCATTCAATGTAATTTTTATTATTTTCTGATAAAACTATCAATTCAATAAATAATTAAGATTGTATAATGTGGTTTGTAAATATTATCTAATTATATAAACTTGATACGTCAAACTTCGTAATTAGCACGATCGTGACACGTGTTCGTTAGTCGATCAGATTTTGACACATTTATAAAAAATTCTAATTAGATTTTGCCACATGTCAAAC